CCCCCCGCCCCCCCAACATTCCTACTATTTTTCAGCAAGTTTTGTATGAGAGGTGTAAAAAAAGAAAGAATGAAGGAAAAAGGGAAAAAATTGAAGACTGAAAGAGCTTCATTGCAGAAGAGCATGTTTCAAAAAAAAAAAAAAATTAATCATTGGCTCGGGATGCAAATCAATGCTGTTAGCAGGGGATCACTGATGATGTGATCTGAATCTGGAACCTAGGAATCAAAGTCCTTATTGTTTGAGCTTTGTTAATAAAAAGAACCCTTAGGTAGTCAGATTGTTAAAGCGAGATAGACAGCCTTGCTGATGGTGCAGGAGTTCATGAGTTTAATATAGGATGAAGAAATAGTGACACATGCAATTTTGTTTTATTTTATGTTTTTGTATTCTAACAGACTGTAGTGAGGAAAAGCAAAAACTGGAAAAATTAACTAGAAGTGAAATTCTATTTAGTGTGCATGTGTTGTCTTTGGAGGCTGAGGGAAATTTCAATTCTTCTTTTAATGTATTTTAAAAGGACAGTAACAGAAGAATACCTGGGGGTGGGTTTTGGAAATTACCTCAGATGTAAGGTACACTCAACCTCAAATATAAGTCTACAACAAAGTGAGAAACGGCAAAATTTCTCAGAATACTTGCAGCATCAGAACTTAACATTTCAGGTGTTACTGAAATATAAAAGGGCTTTTCACACCACAGGTGGATTGTTTAGCTCAAAATTATAGTTTAGGGAGGATAACTTAGCAGTTTTGTGTTATCTTTGTGAAGGGTGTTGACTTATGACAAATAGGTAGCTTACCAAAGTATTTTGACTAGGAATGTAAAAGAATTTGGGTTTATAATGGAAATAAGATGATGGTATATACCCAAAATGAAACAGTGTGTAGCTGCTGTCAGACAAGGATAGGATCAATAGACTTTTTTTCCTGTTCATCTATCTTTTTTTTTTCTGCTTTAAAAAAAATGTTTGGGAAATTTTGAATAACATTCCAAGAGTCTTAGCAGTATTTTCTTAAACAAACAACCCCCTCCAACTCTACTTGTATAGACCAACTTGTTTGTCAGTGTCAGAGAAAACATAAGCAAATGGGAAATGCTTTCAGAAAAACATCATTTATGGTAGATTTTTAAATATCAGGTAGGCTTAAAACTGTATGAAAGTCTTTATTTACTGTGCAATGTAATATTGTTTGAATCTCAACAAATGATGGCTGGTAAATGTACAAAAAGCAAGTTATTTCCTGTACTTTTTTTTGCTGTTGTGCAGAGGGTGACAAACAGGTGGAAAAACTGAAAGCTGTTAGAGCAAAACTGCCACATTTGCCAGTTGTTCGTATTACAGCAGATGCTGGGAGCGTTCCTCTTTCCAGAGGCTCTGAAGCACGAAGTGTATCTTTCGGGTCTCATTTCGTTTCCTCACAGGTAAAAATAACTTTCCATCAAACGGTGTTCTTTTTTCTGCTAACTTTGGACGGACTCCTGGTTGAAGCTAGAAAAGGCTCTTTTTTTTTCTTTTCCCTTTTTTTTTTCCTTTTTTCTTTTCTTTTTTTTTTTTTAAAAAAAAACCAAGTAGGTATACTTAAAATAAGTCATCTCATTTAAAATGAAGGTTCATTAAATGTGCATTTCTTGTTTACTATCTTGTTCTTCTTTGGTGGTTCTTAAAGACACTGTTTACCACTAAGATATGGCTGAAGTTGGTTTACAAAAAACCACTTGATAGACTGTATTCCTTAGACTGTCCTTAGAAAATAATACTGCTTTTATTGTGGTCCAGTCATTTCTTCTTGGTAGAATTAAGAAAACAAATGAGGCTCTTCCCTGGACTGCAGGGATGTGAAAGTGCAACTTAAAGTGCTTTACTCGCAACCCTGTGAGTTTCAGACTCATTCCTTTTCATTTCCTTTGCCTCTTGGAAAAGGGGACTCTGCTGTATGTTCACCAGCGCGCTGGCACTAGGCCTTACCTGTCTTTGTGGAAGCTTGTGTTTGTATTGATAAAATGCCCTTTTTTGTCCCGCTTGCCTCTTCCCTCTGCCCCCTGGCTTCTGTTGTGCACATTTTTTCTTTTCCAGCCACTGCTTCTGTTTTTTCCTGTCTTCCTCAGGCAACTTCATTCTATTTTGTCTGCTCTTTTTCCATGCTTGCTAGATAGCGAGATAAGAAACACGGAAGCGATAGCACAGGAATCTCGGTGCTCCCTGCTGGCACACTTGGTTCTGTAGTGGTCCCAGCAGCCAGAAGTAGTAAAATGCTTAGATAAATAATGCTCAGGATCTGTGCCCTTGGGCTGGACTGTGCTGAGGGAAAACGGAAACTTCGGAGAATCAAACTCCGGCTTCAGCTGAAACTTACATTGCAAATTGAGTTGCAGTTCAGTAACTAACCAAGTTCTGTTTGTAAGAATCTGTTTAAAATAAGCAAAACAACATATTTGCCCTATCTACTACTGAGAATGCTACTGAACCATCTTAACAGAAACTAAGAAACAAGTAAAATATCTCCTAACTACAGGCTTTTTGAGGTCTTCTTTCAAAAAAAGGTTAATGTGTATTTGTTACTTTTACTAGGTTCACCGTTTCTGCAGCAACTTCTGTAGTGATTTGAATGGTGTGATGACAATTCAAGCAAAACCTCTCCAACAGAGGCATGTTGCCACAGTAGAAAAAATACTGTAAGTATTGGTATTGACAGTTTCAAAATGCGGCATAATTCATATTATGTAAAAGATGTTTCACAATTATAAGAAGGCAATAAGAAGGCAGTCGTCTCCTTTGTCTGCATCGCTGATGTGACAATGATTTGTAGAGGTTGCGATGATACTCTGTTAAGAAATCCTTTTACTTTTTTTTTTTTTCCTTCATCCTCATTCCCTATCTCATTCTCCTTCGTATTTTCTCTAGGAATGAGGAAGAAGACAAACAGCGTAGCATTGGCTCCAGTGCTCCAAATTCAGTGCACGCTAGGTTGGGGAGAATTGCTGATAACAGTGTTCTCTCATCATCTCGGGTACTGCTGGCATCTTCTAGGAAGCTACCAAGCCATCGTAGGTTACCTTCTCTCACTTCTGACCAACTCTTCTCAAAAGCTCCTAATATGTACAATGATGAAATCCTTAGGGGGACTAAATTGTGAGTTTTTTCATTTTATTTTTTGCTTTCCTCAGAACTTTACTGAAATTTCACCAATGAAGGATTTTGCAAAATCCTTGAGAACTAACTCGAGATTTATTACTGATTCTAGAATTCAGAGAAAAAAAGAAAGCAAGCAGAACCGTGCTTTTTGAGGAGAGGCATTTGTTTTATTTTTTTGTTGCTATATTAGGTGCTGTTACTTTCTGTAGCTGAGCTCTATAAATAAGTGTATCGCTCAATAATTTCATATTACTTCAGTGAAGAAGTCTTTAATATGATTTTTCCTAAAAGAGGAACCCTTAAAATTCTGTAGGGGTGCCAGCTCGGATCGTTTATCTTCTGCTCATGCACCTACAACCCGGAACAAGTTACCACCAATAAACTCAGAAGCTGTTGAACAATATCTTTCAGTACCTCGATTGCAACAGAGCTCTGTAAGTTGTGTTCATTTTTGTACTGGTGAAGAACTTCAAGCTATTTGGAAATAAATTGCTCTGTGTCACTGGTTGAAATGAGCAATTTTACGGTTTGTGTTGGTTCGTATTTAATACATGGTCTTAACATGCTAATGTGCGTTACCTTGGGGTACCATTAGAATGCAAGAGAAGCCATTTTAAAACCTCACAAACAGATCACAGTGGTAAGACTTTCCTCTGAAAACAGAAAAATCTGTTTTAAAAAAAAAAAAAAGAGAATAATAATCTTACACTTATGTGCATTTGGATTTAAATAGCTCTTTTCAGTGTTTTATTCACTAATGTTAGGTTATAAGAAGTAGAAAATTACGCTGACTGAAGTAGAAAAGGTACTGACTAAAAAAAAAGAGAAATCTTATTGATACTGGCCTATTTTTGAAGGATAGGAAAGTAATAAATCACCACAGTGAAAGTAAATTAACATTTTGATATTATTTTGCTTCTGAATAGTATTTTGAATTGACATACATGTAAAGTATTATTATTATTATTTTAATTAATATAAGCCTTTGGGGATTCTAGACTAATGTTAGGGAACAGTCTCAAATCTCTTTGAAAAACATCAGTACCCTTAAGTTACCTTGAATCAGTGCTTTTGATTAGTGAAAACATATTTTTCTTTTCTTCTTCTCTTGTGTTTTTTGTATGGCAGCGGAAGAATTCTTATTTTAGCCAATTCAATAGCTGCATTCTCTCAGTGCTCTTTTTCATTCTCTCAGCATCGAGGTCGATATGCTCATAGCAGAGTGTCAAGTGCAGTGCCTGGCAGTACAGAGCAACGGCCACTCAGAGAAAGAACTATTATTATTGATCAATTTTCAAGGCCCAACACAACTCATACATTCAGGGTATGTTACAATGTAAGTATAGAGACATGGAAAAGTGAAGAAGCTTCCGTTCATGCCCACTTTTGGTCTACAGAAGGTCTCTTTTACCGGGGGTCTCGTGATTTCTGGTGTACAGAGATTCCTGCTACCTGTAGAGAGGAGGATGTTAAAAGGCTTTGGGAGGGTGGTGGGACCTTGAAAAGCAGGACTAGTGTATGAGGAAGAGATTTTTTTCAAGTCTAATGCATCAAACAGTTCGTTTGAGGGTGTCTATGCACTAGATGTGTGCCGTTTTAGTACTGCTTCGGGCTTTGTAGCTTGGTAGGACTCACTCTGCTGGACTAGATCGTAAAAACTGTAATCAAACCATTTCAGTAGATAAGCATACCAGACTAGCTAATAGTATGTCTTTCCTTTTTACAGACAGATACACCTCAGAAAAGATCATTGACTCCCATGGATTTTGCTAACCACAAAGGGACAGGTCAAGGATTTTTAATAGGTAGGCAAAGTAAGAATCACTTGGAAGGCAAAAGGCCAACAAAACCTATGAACCCATAGTACAGTTGAGAAGTAAAGTGCTCAGGGAGAGCCATCTCGGCATAAAAGAACAGGCGTGCTTGGCAAGATCTTTTGAGTCTGGTTTTGAAGTTTCTTCTCGCTTGGTCTGAGAGGGCCCTAACTCTGACTGTTAGGAACCCTGCAAAGCTTCTTTTCATTGTTGTGATGTGGAAGGAAAAGGATGCCCTCTCATCTTAATATACTTTTTTTTTTTTTAAAAGATTTCAGCATATTTACAATTATGGCAAGAGTATGTGGTGTAAAGGCTAGATGTTTTGCAGCTGCTAGAGTAGCAACACAAATACACGTTTGTGAACTGTTTCATGACATAAATTTTATTTTAGCCCCCATATAAATTCCCCAAATTAGTAAACTTTTTATGTGGAGGGAAAAATAAAATTGAAAATGTGCATTTGTAACGTAAGTATAAAGCTCTCTTAAATAAATTAAAAAATGAATATTGATTTGCAATTATGTCTTCCACTTATAACACCAAAAAAGAGAGCAGCCCTACCTGGCTTATTTAGTTCCATTGTTACAATAAAGCTGACTAGCTAGTTCCTGAGGTATTCGAGTGCTTGTACGTAACCTTTATTTGTTTGGAAGTTCCTTGAGTTTAAATAATTATATGATTGGCATAATTATATAAAAGGTGATGTAAGAATAAGGGCAGGTTAGCAAACATTGATCTGAGCAGACTGATGGAAGTAACTCATACATAATCTTGGAGTGTCTTTCAGATTCTACCACAATTAACAAACAATGCTTTATCTTTTCTAGGCTCACAGCAATACTACAGATCCTTTCAGAGAAATCGTCCAACCTCAAGGAAGAGATTTCAGATTGCTTCTTAACCCAGTTTAGGAAGAAACAGAAACCCCCTGCACTGAATGGAAGACTGAAACACTAAATTTGCCAGCTAGTGTCTTGTGTAACAAAGAACATGTGCAGTATGCTGGTTTCTGCTGAGCCTTGCAATCCTCAGGATGCCTGCTTTGCCTTCTTTTAAAGTTGTCTGACCAGAGGTTAGATTAAAAATTAGAGCGAAATGAAATAAATGGTTGAGGTGTCTGTTCTGTTTGCAGAATCAAGATGCTGCTGCTGCACTTTCTTCTCAGGCATTCCTCCTTTTTCTGTCTTTCCTTAGGGAATTGTTATTCTACCTGTAGAAGCAAATAAGTTATGTTTAGGCCATGAAGTCCTGTGTTTCCTCAGTGTTAAAGATGTTCTAGTCTATCCGAACATCACTCATATATAAAATTTATACTTTTAAAGAGGATTTTGTGGTACCTCCTCTTTAACTGCTGTTTTAACATTTCTCCATTTTCAGTCTGTCTGGTTATTGCAGCTGCTCTCTTGTAAATATTGTCTGTCTTACTTTTTCTTCTTCCTTTAATTCTTTTGAGATGAAATTAATTCATTGCTTCTGCTTATGCTGTTCTAATTGTCAGTAACTATGGGAACTGCTGGGATAAACTTTGTTTACAGGAAGCAATGTTTTCCCTGCCAGGCAAACATGTTTATAGATGCTGAGCAATTGAACCTGCATGGTGACAAGTCGGTAAGGCTGTTCCCACTTCCTGAGATTTCTTAAAAAATATTGCCTATTATTGTACAAATTAATCATATTTTGAAATACCTGAGCCTTCAAAGCTTTAACATGAAAATATGTACTTAACTGATGAAAGCATTATTTCATAGCTCTTTGTGTAGACCCAAGTGGGAAGATCAAAGAGGAGACTGGGATTGCGTTCTGCCCAGAGATCACAGCCCTGATCAGGTCCCTGGCTATTAGTACTGTGTGCATTTGCAGTCAGGGATTCCTCCTTCCATCACAGGGCCAGCAGTTTAAGTAGATGTGGTTGAAGAACTGTTGAAGGGGAAAGGGAGGAGGAGAAAAACTTAATTAGTTGCCCAAATTATGCAGTTAAGAATAGTATCAGTTTCTTCTACTTGGGAACTAATACCAGTTCTCCTCACTTCTTTTTATGAATGTTCAAGGATTGGTAATCCAAAGTAAAGCATTTGTAATGTATATTTTATATCTGTACTGTTAATCACATTTCTGGTTTTTGTAAATGGCCATCAAGCACTGCATTCTTTTGAGTAAATGAAAGCATTTTTAAATTATTGGCTTAGTATTTTTCTCATTTGGCTACACTAAGTTTACTCACTGGTGGTATTATGGTATAGTTACCTGAGAAAGCAGAATACTTTTGCTTTGGAGTTGCAGGTTGATTTCATACAGTTGGAAGTCAATTTGATGCAGTTTCTTCAGAAATCTCAGCTCAAAGATGACATAACTTTCAAAATTCACATTTAAGTCTTCTTCAGCAGTGTGTCCAAAATACACTTTTGCTGTCGTGAGTGCTCCCTCTTGTACTATATAGACGTTGACAAAATGCAGAGAAACGATGGCAAAATGTGGCATTTCACGGCAACCGAGATCTTACGTTATGGACTAAATAAAAAGATGTATATGCACCGATTTGGTTCTGTATGGCAGAAGTGGGAACCACACAGCGAAGAGTGGTTCATCGTCTGGCACTTTGTGGAGGAGAGAAGATTGCTGACCTCTGCAAAGTGATGGAGCTCAGTCACTGGATTTCCGAATGGAGAGAAGAGCAGAGCAACAAGCATCTGCTTCTGCAGCTTAAAAGGAAAGGAAAGATCTGCTAATTACTAGAGCACCAGTGGAACTCTCTCAGGTGGCAGAGGAGAGGGAAGAGGGATATTTGTTGGCTACCAGAAGTATTTTAACCTTTTGGTCAGTTTTCTGGCACCTGACAGAATCCTGGGTCATCTTACATCCTGATAATCAGCGTGTTGGATAGAGTTCTTCACTCTTGATTTTTGTTTTTCTTGTGGTCATGGGACTAATAAGTCTCACTTCCCATACTACCTGCACACCTAAGTGTTTATGAAGCCTACTTGTGCACAGGAATGTTGTTGAAGTGAATGTCTTTGTAAATCTGGACCTCTAGGGCCATGATAAAACAGCAGCTGCTGTGAACTGGGCCCTGTACTTACTTGGACATAGTCCTGAAGCCCAGAAGAAGGTTCACAGAGAACTGGATGAGGTGTTTGGTACGTTTTCCATTCCTCCTTTACCAAGGTTGAAGAAGTGGAGGTAGGAACGTGTCTTGTGGCCATTCTGGAGCTTTAAATAGCTAGAGGTGGTTGGGATGGGTGCTGGAAGGTCTGCAGGAGAGAGTACTGAGAAGGTTTCCCAAGTAAAGGGCAGCGTTGTTTTATTTTTTTACTGTGCTGTTGTGAAAGTCACTTATTTGCTGTTGTTTTGACCCTTCTCCTCCCTTTCCCTTTTCTCCTCAGGAGGATATCAAGTACCAAAAGGCACAAATATTCTTGTCATAACTTACGCCCTGCACAGAGACCCCGAGATCTTCCCTGATCTGGAGGAGTTCAGGCCTGAGCGATTCTTCCCTGAAAATTGTAAGGGAAGGCATCTGTGTGCTTTCCAGATAATTAATGTTGTTGATAGTTTGCGTGTATCCATCACTTTGTAGCTGACGTCTCTGGTCTCATTAGGGGGCAATGTGGTGGAAATTTCATCCCCATTTTCCCTTTCAGTCTCGCAGTGGTTTCATGGTAGGCTTTTCAGCTGTGGTAGATGTCAAGGTGTTGGCAGCAGGGGTGCTGCTGGGGTGGGCTCTGTGAAAAAAGGCCGGAGAAGAAAACACAGCCGGTTCCTGCTAGCTCCATAATGAACCCACTGCAGGACATAGCTGAGCCTAGCAGCCAAGCTGGTGGCACCTCTGTGAAAATGTATTTAAGAAAGGGTACCAAAAATGCTGGAGGAGGGGGGAAAAAAGAGAGAACAGAAGAGCAGTGCAAACACCAAGGTCAGTGAAGGAGGAGCAGTTGGTGCTCTAGGCACCAGAGCGGAGGTTCCCCAGCAGCCCATGGAGAAACCATGCTGGAGCAGGTTTATCCTCAAAAGCTGCAGCCCATCCTCTCCTCTCCCATGGTGGAGCAGGAGGAAAGTGTGAGGAAGAGGAGGAGGGAGCGGCAGAGAGGAACATTCCGTTTTTGTTTCTCACTTCCCAACTCTCTATTTTTAATTGGCAATAAATTAAACTAAATTCCCTCGAGTTGAGTCTATTTTGCCCATGATGGTAGCTGGTCAGAAATCTCCCAGTCTTTATCTTGACCCATGAGCTTTTTCATCCTGTTTTCTCTCCCTGTCCTGTTGAGAAAGGGGAGTGCATGAGCAAATAGATGGGTGTCTGGCTTTTGGCCAAGGGCAACCCACCACAGCTTCTAACAGACTGTTCGTTTGTCACTGTGTATATGCATGCACATCAAATGTGGACAGTGAATTTCCTAGATCAAATGTCAGACACCAAATATTCTATGTTGCAAGAGTGCGGGTGGGCAGATTTGCAGTCTTGTGTGTTTCTGTGACCCACCATCACAAGTTCTTACTTATCTTAAACTGACCTTTTTATTCATGCTCCATGACCTCTGGCTTGCTTCATGTACTGTGTAGCATGTTGCTAAATGCTTTCTTTAAACTTGCTAGAGTTTAGCAAGGAGGAGGCCCTGTAGGATCTAGTCAAACCACAGAACAGTGGGCAGAATCTCCACCCGTGAACTTGGGGCGAGTTGTGGCCATCCAACTTGGGAGTATGCTTTTTCCTTGACACGTATGTCCTGGTTTCGGCTGAGATAGAGTTAATTTTCTTCCTAGTAGCTGGTATAATGCTGTGTTTGGGATTTAGTATGAGAAGAATGTTGATAACACACTGATGTTTTTGTTGTTGCTAAGTAGTGCTTACGCTAAGTCAAGGACACTCCAGCTTCCCGTGCTCTGCCAGGTGCACAAGAAGCTGGGAAGGAGCACAGCCAGGACAGCTAGCCCAACTGGCCAACGGAGTATTCCATACCATATAACGTCATGCTCAGTATATAAATAGGAGGCATGGTCCAGGAAGTAGCGATCGCTGTTTGGGCATTGGTCAGCAGGTGGTGATCAATTGCATCGTGCATCATTCATTTTGTATATTCTATCATTATTGTTATTATTATTATTATCATTTTACCTTCCTTTTCTGTTCTATTAAACTGTCTTTATCTCAATCCATGAATTTTACTTTTTTTCCGATTCTTTCCCCCCATCCCGCTGCAGGGGAGTTTTCTCACTTTCCCGCTTCTGATTCTCTCTCCCATCCCACTGGGGGTGAGTGAGCGAGCAGCTGTGTGGGGCTTAGTTGCCGGCTGGGGTTAAACCACAACAGTCCTTTTTGGCACCCAATGTGGGGCTCAAACCTATGAGCCTGGGATTAAGAGTCCCATGCTCTACCGACTGAGCTAGCTGGACAGGATAAGATGTTAAAAACGTACTCTACACTGCAGCTGGGGAGAAGGGGCATACCTGGAGCCTC